GAAAATCTACCTGGTCAAAAAAATGAAAATAAAAGAAAGCAAAGAAAACTTAGGTCGAAAAAGTTTTACAAAATTAACAAATTAACAATGATGGAAAATAATTAATCATTGATTAATAATTTAATAAATGAGTTTTTATTTTTGAAATTTCAGGCACATTAACACTTGTGTCTCCTTAACAAAACCTTCCCAGCATCCCTGTTTACAGAAAATTAAATTTTGCAAAATTCCAAAGTCAAGACGTGGAAGAATTCAGAAATCCTATGGCTACAAACGAATAAAAATAATTCACTAAATCTGATTAGTTTTAAAAAATACTTTCTACTGTTAACGAATGTAAAGATGTTTTGGTTTTGGAAGAAGATAAATAAAGGCTTTCATTCTTTATGTTCGACGATGAACAGAATTAAAATACTTAAACAATGTCAGTGTTGTCATTTTGCCGGAGAATTCCGAATGAACCTTGAACAGTGGCACCACAGCCATCATCGATATTACCACGAGACGAGAGTAGCCAAGCGCTGAAGCAAGAAAGCAAGTTTTCCTTTAAAAATAAAACAAAGTAACTGCTCTCCGCTCAAAGACAAAAACGTAAAGTGTCGGGTAGGCGTTTTCATAAAGAAAAGACAGTTTTGTTTCTGTGTTCTCCTCTCACCACCACTCCGTTTAATTTTGAAAGTTAGTGAGCTGGCGTCTCAGGCCACCCAATCATCGTTCGAGTTGCAAACAACAGAACCTTTTTACTTGTTACCCCCACACCGTAATTTGTTATTTTAATGTCCGCTGCGATTTATATATGACCTCATCTACATTATAATGGCATAATTTTGACTTTAAAAGAGAATTTGGCTTGACCTATATTAGGTTGAGCCAAAAATAATTTCCGTTTTTCGTTTATCAATTTTATTCTTCAAAAAATACATCACAATGACATTTTATTCAATTATATATTCACCGTTATTTGCAATGATTTATTGCCACATATGACGATAATTTTCCTTTGATACTTTTTGAGTAAAATTCCCCCTCGTTTTGATTTGAAAATGTTTTCGACGAACTCTTTAATTTGATGTTCATTCCCCCCCCATGAAAGCGTTTTGCAGCGATCGAAAAAAAAGTAATAATCCACTGATGCAAGATCAGGTGAATATGGCAGGTAGCTATGAATAGACCAAACGAATTCGATTTTTCTCCTGAGTTTTTGGTTGCTGTATACGGCCTTGCGTTTTCACGGAGGAGAGTAACCTTTGCCCTGTTATCTATCATAGAGATTTTCGACTAAACTTTTATGGTCACATTGCAGATGCTGGGCGTATGCATGTGCATTTAATGCTTCATTGCGTTTTAAGAACTTAAATAATACCCCGACGAACACACCACACACAAAACAACTCCTTCCTTCATGGAACTCAAATTTGGGATTGGTTATGGAGAGTTGCCTTTGTCGGCCCCCAGCTCTTGCGTTGGACACTGTTGTATGCAACCCACTTTTTATCGTCTCTGATGATATATTTAAAGAAGGCTTAGTTAAGATGACACATTTATTATTGCAACTGGTTATCCAAAATGAAAATTACTTACAACTGCAACTAATGCTAACATAATTTTTTTTTACTCTTTATTAACTTTGACTTAATTTGGCACAAGGATACAAGTATGGGGCACACTGGAATATTTTGTTAGAAAAAAGAAAAGAGTACTGAATTGTTATGAGGTATTGGTCCTTCTATATGGCAGTGAATAGTCGTTAATCTCTTTAACGATGAAGAGACTTGAGGCCACAGAAATCTGGTTCTACAAAAGGATGCTGAGAATACCATGGACTGAACAGGTGAGCAACGACGAGATTATGGGGAAAAGGGAAGCAAAAAGGGCACTTATATCTAGAATCAGAAAGAGACAGTTGAAATTTCTAAGGTACATAATGAGGAAAGAAAACTTGGAGAATTTGACACTCACAGGACATACTGAAGGCAAGAGGGATAAAAGAAAATATAACCTACCTAACGAGCCTGAGTAAATAGTTGGCAGAACACGGATTAGGAGATACGGCAACAACACAAGCCGTGCTAAGAGATAAAAACAGCAGGAAGTTGTGGAGAGCAATGATCCCCTACGTACTGATGAAGAACTTCGGAATTAACTCATTCCCAGTACTCAGCGGTAATTCGAAAACAGAGAAGCCTCATAAACCATATTTTACACCATGTCTGTCCAGGACAAAGGCGATCAAGGCTCTCCACATTTCCTTTGTCATTTATGGATTACTGTTGCTTTCCCCTTGTTTTCAAATCAGATTTTTCCTCCTTCTGGACTGATCGGCGCCACGAATTACTCTGCTATTCATGCCTTTCCAACTGCATCAGTGCGAAAGTGAATGCAATTAAGTACGCCGGAACTTGAACTTTCAAATTAACAGCTACGCTATCCTCTGATCGTCATCCATTACCACATCTTGAAGTGCCCAATTTATTATCTACTAAGCGTAGTTTAGTTGTAGCACAAGGCTATACCGATAGGCACCCAGTATGTATCAAACTTAATTTTCAAAATCAAACAGATGACCTTCCTAAGCATTACTACTAACATGAGATTATTGTTAGTGCTTATCTCTCGACATATGAGAATTCTTCTCTCAACACACACACACATGCTATGTCTCTTATTTCCCTCCAAATAACAAGAATATTTCGGGGAAAAAAGTATTTGTTTTTATAACACATACATAAACACTATTTTGATTCGTAATCATAATTTTATCATTTAAAGTTATTTATAATCAATTGTTGTGTCATCAAGGGACGAGTGCTTGAAATAAATCATACCCAACTTTCGAGAAATAAAAACTAGGGGTGATTCGTAGACATTTTTATTAAGATCGGCTTATAAAATTGGGTAATACAACTATATATATATATATATATATATATATATATATATATATATATATATATATATATATTTATGTTATCATTTTTAAATAATTTTATAACATATTAAATTTTTTAAATAACTTTTAAAACCATTTATTTTACATTCAACATCATCACTTGATAAGACACCGGAGGTGTTGAAACAAAATGGCTATTTTTGTAGTGATTTTATAACATATTCATGTTATAATTTTTAAATAAATAATATATATATATATATATATATATATATATATATATATTTGCACATACACAGATCTCCCTCTCTTTCTCTCTCTCCCTCTCTATATATATATACATATATATATGTGTGTGTGTGTGTGTGTGTGTGTGTGCGTGTTTTTGAAAGTAAGTCAGTGTATTTACACACTTACACAGACTGGTGAGAAACACATCGTATATATATGCACGGACAGGGCCCCTCGAGGAGGTGTAATGGTTAACAAGCTTGTCTCGCTAGAACAATTACGACTGAGTAGTGAGTTTGAGCCTCGCTGGGCGCCTCCAACTTTCGGCCTTGTGCCACATCTAAGCTATGCTTGGAAAATCACTATATACGCAGGGATATATATTTACACAGAAAACGCACACATCTCTCTCTCTCTCTCTCTCTCTCTCTCTCTAGATAGATAGATAGATAGATAGATAGATAGATAGATAGATAAATAGATAGATATAAATCACTTAAGCATTTACATACACATACACATGTAATATAAACAAGGAGTAAACCACGTGTATACCAACATTCTCAAAGCTACGGTACAAAACCAACGAGGTAAAATGATAGTGTAAATGTTGGCGCAAAACATTCTTTCTGATTGACAAGGCCTGAACTGGAAATCAGCTGTCAAAATTGTGGCTTTTACCCGGGCTTGAACACAAACCAATAGTGCTGATGAGAGATAGACAACTACCCCATCAATCTATTGTTTTAGTAAAGAACGAGACCTGACAAAGAGAATGGGTGTTAGGAAGATTGTGTTGCATCAGTCTTTCGGAGTGGGGTGAACGTACTTGTCTTAAAAAAGAGAGAGCGAGAGAAAAAAAAAGCAAATTGAAAGACTGGTTCGAACTCCGATCAGTGGTGTCGATGTGAAATACACAAGTATCTCCCACCCACCCAGCAGACTCATAGATAATTTGTAATGTATGAAGTCTAAAAAGGAAACACGCTCAGCCAATAGTAGTGTTAGTTATTTGTTATGATTAATAAGACCCCACTGATACAAAGAAGGTACCCACCGCTGCGCTATAAAAAAAATTATCAGCACAAGCATATACTTACCCTTATCTACCCGTTTAACTAAAAGCAAACAATGAAATTAAAGCATTTGCTCATATAGTTATAATGCTCATAAAAGCCGCGCACACTTATTTTTTTTAAAAAAAAAGAAAAAAAAACATTAGCCCAAATTCACACGGATAAGGTTCCCACACAAAGAAACATAATAAAACTCAATGACCCGAACACATATACACATACAAAGAAAAACGCACACATATAAACGTATAATTGCACACAAAGCAAAAGCGAACACACATACACACATGGTGGGTTTGAGCATGTTTCCCTCTCCTTATTTTTTTCTTCCTAGTCCTTTTTATCATCACAGCCCCAACCCCCTCCTTCAGAAAAATCCTGTCGTACATTACCCCTCCGTTTTTCAATCTGGCTTTTAACTCCTTTCACTCTCACAGTTCGGCTTTCAACATATGTTCCTCCTCTTCCTCTCTCTAAATGTCATTGTTCCCATCCTCTCATCAGTCTCACTTTTTCCTCTCTTATCAGGCTCTGCCTTTCTCTACCCCACTTCCACGTTTGGCGTATTCGTTTTCCTTCTTCCTCTCCCTCCTTACTCTCCTCGCTAGAGCGGCGAACTCTTCTCACACGCCGAAGTCTCTCGTCTCTGCCACTATCTCGTTCTAACGTTGGCGCTAACGTTATTCTCCTAAGTGGGATTCGGTAAGCTACTAACTAGAAGGCAAAGCAAACGACCATGCCGCCACCTCTATCAAACACAGGATTTTACCCGTCGGACTGACTGATGCCTATACGGCCGGAGCATGGCTTTCTACAGCAGAACGGCCAGTCTCCTACTGCTGGTCACTCATCTCTGTTCGGGGACCAGCCAAGTGACCGCAGACCCAACTTCCCCTAATGGTATGTAAGAACCCTAAAATCTTTCCCATCTATAAAAGAACACACTTCTGGCCCAGTTTCTTGAATTCTTCCCTCTCCTTTCAAGAACCTTGATTCTTTCGGAATATTAATTCTTTACGTTGCAGAGCTTTGTCTGAAATTCAAAACTTGCGCATTGCTATGTTATCATTCGGATATTTTTTTAATAACCAACTTGTCATTGTCTTTGTTGTTTCAGTTTAGTTTTGATTCTTAAATTGGTTTTCGTATTAGTCTGCTATATTGTCACAACATAGTCTCAGAAAATAATATTTCTCTATTATTATTGTTTAAACTTTGAAGAAGTTGTCTTACTGAATGCTTTTCAAAAGAAAATGAAATAAATACATTTTTAAAGTGTTTTTTTTTTTTAATTTATAAACTGTTTTCTAAATTATTCATGCCAATATTAAAATATTAAAAAGTTAGTTATTCCTAAATTTCTCGAAAGAAGATTAACGTTAATCGATATCCGATTTTGTTTTCTCTTTTTTTTTTCAACAAATTACTTTTTGTTCTTCATGCTGTAACGTTTATAATGTCGTCTGCCACAGAAGGCATGTTCAGTTGCTTTCTCTTAAACGAAAGAAAAGATGCCCTTTTTGATATTTGTGTACGAAATAAAGAAACCAAAACAAGCTGGGTATCTTTGCTAGTATGTCAGAGTTTCTAAATTAGTCGCTTCTTGGGACGCGATAACCATTTTTCTTCCTTTCTTTTTTCTTTTTTCCATATTGAATAAACTTCTTAAAAACATGATGACAAGAACTAAAGTACACTTACCAAAATGGGTTTAAAGATTAAAAATAAAATAAAATAAAACCAAAAAAAAAAAAAACAATATTAAGACCGGAATGACAACACGATAAGACGGGCAAGCATGTCAACGCGCATGCGCGTTCGGATACCGCTAACTGATAACATACATTTGCACACACGCTTTTTTAAGCAGATGTAAACATAAGTTGATGCTAGAAGACATATGTTTATCTGTAAAGTGTATATATTCGTGTACATATATAGAAACATCTGTGTGTTTTTCAAAATGAGCAGTCTATACCGAAAAAAATAACTCGGAGAAAGCTGAAAGCACAAAATATCTATTTGAATACAAGTAATTATCATTAAAAAATCTACTTGCATTTTAAAAGTGAATGCTTAAGTGAAAATGTGCTTATCTATATTCTATACCAAGAAGTCCCTGTGTGCATATATGGCTACAATATTATTAAGAACGGTCAATAACTCAATGACGTGTGTGCGTGTACGAGCCAACACGCATGGAAATGTATAGTTGTACGAATTTGCACACGCCTTCATCATAAATATGCCCTGTCCATTTCATTTAGAGAAAAAAAAAACTACATCAAATGTACAGTAGAATAAACTTTTCCTAAATCTGCAAATAATCTCCCCGACCATAACTCTTTAAAAATTTTAAAAACAATAAAAAATACATTGTGTATATTATAAAGTAAGAAGCAATTTATCCAATTTTGGCATAATTATTTTTCGTATCTTATATATAAGAAATTTCATGTGCAATTATTTATCACACAGCACACGTGTACTTCAATACACACATTTAAAACCTTTATCGGCAAATTCTACTTTAGCGAGCGCGGTTTAATTTCGAGTATAGAATTATGCTACCTATCCAAACTATTCATATGCCCGGCCTATGAGACAAGGGTTTAGAACAGAAATGTACATTTCTTTAATTTAAAGTAGGTGAAATTTGGCGCGTTCACAAATTGGAAGATTGCATAATCATTACTATTTGTATATTACTAATTGTCCAACATTTAAAAGTACAGTTTTTATCATGGACTGAAAGGAGGCTAGGTATGCATTTTTTGTCAACTATGTTGTGCAACTTTGTGGATATTTCCATCTTTTTTTTTTTTGGGGGGTCATCTTTGATGCTATGTTTTTATTACACCTTTCCCCCCCCTCCCTGACCGGGGGGGGGGAGACCGAATACTTCTATGCAGTCTATTATTGTCGAACGGACACACGCACATACATTTATAAAGAGAAGTAATATAAGGAACTACCATTCCCGCCTGTGTCGATTACTTCCTGGTTGTAGAATTCAAGAAAGACAGAGAATTGAAGACGTTTAAGAATGACTAGTGTTGGTGTGAAAATTTCTTAGAATCATATTAAATAATAAAAAAAGAATATCAGAAGTAAAGAAAAACTCTGAGTTAATAAATGGCGGGCGTTGTTTATTTTTTATAATGGGGTAAGCTTTAAGTGGCAGAGGGATACAAATAATGCGAGAAATATAGAAAAAGAAAAGTCAAAAATCACGGAAGAAATTCGACTTAGTGTATTTCTGGATAGTTTGAATTAAATGCAAGCAATTGGCATTTCCTTTGTTTCTTTTACTCGTAGATGTATGTGTATGTGTGGCGTATATGTGTATTTCATTTTGGAAGCGGTGTGTGCGCGCGCGGGCTTTTGGGCAGAGTATTGCGGGAAATGTGCTGTACATTGTAATATATATTATTATTGTTTTAATTTACTATTTTTTTAGCTGTATTTTTCTGATTTTGCATTAAGATACCAAAAGTAGTGAAGAAATTAGGAGGTGGCAAAGAATCTGTGTTACAGTAATCTTCTAAATTGGGTAGAATCTACTCGCATTGAAAAGAAGTACCCGAAATCGTGGTTTTTGATAGGAAAAGAGGAACTAATAGGAAAATACTCAAGTAATTCGTACCCAAGTCCACGAATTAATTTCTTGGTGGCTGTAGAAAATATATATATATATATATATAGAGAGAGAGGATTAAAACTAAAATAAAGACATACTTCCAAGTTATTTAAACAAACACGCCTGAACGAAAATATGCTGTCGAAATATACACACACACACGTGTGTCTGTATATGTGATTATCAAACTTACATATGTGTGTATGTGTACCATTTCTATACATGTGTCTAATAATTTTAATCTATATATATGCGTGTGCATATATAATTTTGTAATTCATTTATACTTTTAATCCGACAATATTACATATTATTATAAACATTACAAGGTTACACGTGTTTTTAGTAGACAGCACTGTTTTTTTTTTTTTCATTGTTTAAAAGAAAACCTGGGGATTCTAGTCAAACACGTGTACTCATTAAATAACGTTTCTAGTCTTAAGAATTCGGTGTGTGTGTGTGTGTGATTAGATATGATGAACAAAGAACATTTTATTCCGTTTTTCTAATGTTCCCGGAGATTTTTTTTTTTTTTTTTTTTTTAATAGGGACTAAGATTGTATTTTTACAATCTCGCATGAGAGAAAAAGTCTTTTTTAAAAATTTCCCTTGTCTTTCACATTTGACGAAACATGTATAAAAGAAGGATTACTACTCAAATGTACTCCTTCTCTCTCTCCATATATATATATATATATATATATATATATATATATATATATATAATAATGGGTGAGAACTTCCTCAGTTATCATTTTTAAAATCAAATAGAATAAAAAAATTCTGTGTGTACACTAAAATGTGTGTTTGTGTTGCTAAATGAAATAAGTCTTAACGTGTTTAAGCGAAGTCGTTCTCTATTCCTGGGAGTAATCTGAGTGAAAAAAAAAAACTAAACAGAAGTTACATCCTTATTTTTACAATCGACACCATTTAGTGTGCATTTCGTTGCTAGCAGATTCTATAATCGAAAGATAACGTTTCCCGTTTTGCGCTTAATAAAAAAAAAAAAAAAAGCAACGAAGATACTGCAGCATAGTAATGTCTGTATTACTGGAAGCATTTTTCCATTGTCTCTCTAACTAACAAACATATATGTACACAAAGCATGTGCTCGACGAGACGGAGAAATAATTTATCGCATCAACCGGGCTGAAAAACCGCATGGAGATATTTTTTAATCAATCCACCCCAAGCAAGGCGATAATGCCACCAAGACGCCAGGGGGCTACTGGGAGGGAAAGAGAATCAAAAGACTTTAGAATGAGCCGGAAACCCATCCTAAAAAGGGGAACAAGGGATAAACCTCTATTTAGGTTCAAAATATTGTGGAGGAGTATGAACCGGACGATAGTTTTAAAAATAATTAGAAAATAAAATAAGACGGAGACGTTAGAAGTATAGAGCTGAGATAGACTTTAGAAGGTACTGGAAAGCAGAGATAAAGCTCTACTCCTATTCAAAAGACCGAGAAGGAGTGTGAACCTGGCGATAGGCGAACCTATTTACTCTTATTGGGGAGGAGAATACACACACACCCACACAGACACACATTACAATAAGGACAAAAATGAAATTGCCTTATCGAAACCGACGACAGGAAACCAGAAAGTGTTTGTTTGACTTATATATATATATATATATATATATATATATATATATGAGTATCTATCTTTATTTTAAACATATTCCGTTGATTATGTAAGACAATGAAAATTTTATCAATTTTTTAATTTAGTTTTTCTAATATTCTCACATTTTTTCCGTTTGCTGGAATTAAGGGAGTTTTAAAATTGTCCATAGTGTCTCTTGTCCCAAGGGCTTTCGACCGCTTCGTTAGCCATTTTCAAGCGTTTTGTTGTTTAAGTGTGGTTCATTTCTGTTAACGTTTGTCTGCTTGAGATGCAGTTTTTGTGATACCTAAATACTCACCCGTTACTTAACTAAGGACCAGAGAATTTTTCAGCATGCATGTTTTTTTTTTTGTTTTTTTTTTTTTTGTGGTGGTAGTATGTGTAAGGCCTGACGGTCAACTTCTCGTAAAATAGAATTATCTTCTGGCTAAGATTGACTTTGCTAATTATTCCTTTGAGAAGATATGAATCAATATCCTCTGGTACAATCCCTCATAAAATACCAGGGTAGACTGGGTTCTCTAGCCTTGGTTAGTTACTTTTGGAGAAAGACAATTCTGAATTCAAAACCAGGAGTTGAATTCACTCGGTTCTAGAGTTAGGGCCAAAAACATAAGATGTGATGAAAGCAATCCTACCCAATAAAAAACAAAAAAAAAACATCGTCGGGCAAAGAGGATCTGTGTGTAACTTGAAAGAATAACCACATACAAAATTAGTCCATTTGTCTACCTCTTACATACCCGCTCGATCATATACATATATATATATATATATATATTTATATATATATATATATATAAGTTACGAAAATCTTAGTAATCCGTATGAATAGTCCCAAGGAGGATGAAATCCTGAGAGCTCAATGTAAATTCAGAGCTAATAATTTAAAGAAAAACAGATAGATACATACAGATATAAATAGACATATATACATATAGATAGATACATATAGATAGATAGAGATGTATATGTTTAATAACAAATGCAAAAAAAAAAAAAAAGAAATAAAACTGTCAGGCCTCCAATCAAAATCGCTACTCAGAGTTTCATATTCAGAAGATCTTTCCCTCTGAAGACACGATTTTGATCGGGGTCCCTAAACACTTTAGGTTCCTGTTTAAGTAGGTGTCTGTTTTTCTTTTTCTCAGATTTCTTTTCTTTTTTTTTTTTCTTTTAACGTTTTCTTCTTTGACATACATTTTATTGGTAGATTTGTTTTTATCGGTTTCTGATTATTAGGCTTATTCTCTCTCACTCACCATACCCTGCGGATTGCGTTCAAATAGGAAGTAGACTACTGCCACTCTGTGTTAGTTAACGTCAGTATCCACTTTTATATATACACACGCTCTATCCTTGATATTGAGCACTTTTATAAATATCGCTTGCTTTACAAGTATATCTAATCATCATATATATATAATATATGCAAATATATAGAAAAAATAGGAAAGAAGACGTTAGGTAAATAATCCGGAGTTCTTTAGTATTTTGTTTTTTATTTAAAAAAAAAAAAACAGTGCTCCATACAGAGGTAGAGCTTAAATTATAATTATTTTTTAAAAAATATGATTCCTTCGTTACATAAATTTTCGCTTGAGGATAAAACAGGGCTTGATACTTTAATTCAATTTAATTTTAATAATTATATTGAGGTTTTTGGCTTTTGTTTTTGAAACATGAGAACTCTTATGTAGCGAAGGAATGAAATTTTTTACAAATTAATATATAGGGGTGTTGAAAAATCCTCAACCCGTCCAAGTAACCTTTCCATAAATAAATACAATATTTGGCCAGAAAGTGGATTTGGTAGAGTATAAGCCACCCCCTCCCAAACCCGTATGCATGTAAAATGCCTTTAATAACTACTTATGATCGTATAAATACCAGGACGAAACATTTTAAGGTGATGTAGTGGTTAGAGAGCCTGTCTCGCTAAATCAATTACAACTAAATAGTGAGTTCGATCCTTAGTGCTTCATACACGCGGTCTTGAGTTGCAAATAGACGGGGGATAATGAACCGTTTTGTTTCAAAAACTCATAACCTAAGGGTTAAAGTTTAGGATAAAATGTCTTGAACATTTAATGAGGAGGGTCGTTGGAATGGAAATTCCAGGTGGATTTTTCTAAAAAAAGAAAAATTATTGCCGTTCAGGTTCGTCTATTGGAAACTCAAATGTACTCTCTCTGAGAAATTTGTATATGCTACTGACTTGTGACTTTTCTTTATGCTACTGACTTTTCTTTATGCTACTGACTTTTCTTTATGCTACTGACTTTTCTTTATGCTACTGACTTTTCTTTATGCTACTGACTTTTCTTTATGCTACTGACTTTTCTTTATGCTACTGACTTGTGATGAGGCGGTTTCTAAAGACTGCACGATGCAACATATCCTAGATAAAGACAAGAGAATATATCGGTCGAAATTTTGTGTTCGAAACAAATATAAAATGGCATATTGGTTTGAATACCTATCTCGACATCTTTGTGCGAATTAATTATATAGGAATATGTGGAGAGTCATGATCAACTACACCCTTCTGCAAATTAATTGAAACAAAACGAATAATTTCGTTATTATTTACTGTTTTAGTATTTTTCCAATGAATCATGACACATGTTAGTACTTCGTATGTTCATTCTGAGAAGTCATTCTTTACAGATTGACAACAGATTCTCGATTGGATTTATATCAGGAGATTTTCCGGTCCAGTCTATAGTGCTTAGATTTGCTCACTGGTAAAGCTTGCCATTGTGTTCGTACAGCGTTGCAATTTTCGTAAGCTTCCTGAGGGTATTGCCCATCGCAGACAATGGCCGTAGGACAACTAATAAACAACCGAGACAATAGTGTCTGGGCGTGATAAAGATCTGATGCAATCACGGATGACACAATATTTTTCAAGGTCAAACAAATTTCATCATGCACCCCGAAAATAGATTCATATTACTGCCCACCACTGCAACTAACCTAATCTGAGAAAAAAAGAAAAGAAATCGATTACACATTGTCACTCCAGTGGGTCTAAAACTGACCGTATGGTGAAGAAAAGAAAAGAAAACTAAAGCAATTGTTTCAATTAATTTCCGCAAGAGTGTAGATTCACACTTAAAGAGCTACATATTTCGTGGGTGTTCGTGAACAAAACTTAGCGAAATGAATGGGAGTACAAACATTTCACTCTCGTTTATGAATAACTGGGGATATTTTTTGTTGTTAATTAAAGATATTCTCAATGTTCGAGAGAGACTGAGATAGTAGAAAGACGCGCACTTCTATATTTCCCTCCCCTATTAAATCTCATCTCCCATGTGATTGCGGGGGGGTATATGGATGATAGTGTAACAGATAGTGGCTCGAATTAGGACAGAGTTCGTTGTAACCGCTTTCGCACAAACACCCTTATCAGAGATTTGAATCCCTCTTTTCTCTTCCTCATAAGTTAAATATCAGGAGAGATGGACTCTTTAACCTTTATTGGAAACCAGTCTCTGAAAACAAGTCTGATTTCAAAACCTGAGGAGTGCCGTTTGGAGACATCGAGTCATACTGTGCACCAGTTCTCAGTTCTTTCGAAAAGTGTGGCTGATTCTACTATAACCTTTACCACTATAATCAACTCATATGTGAAGGCTGCCTGGAAGCTCATTTCTAAGAACTCAATGTT